AAGAATTGATGCCTTTGAGTTGTGGTGTAGGAGAAGAGTCTTGAAGATCTCATGGATTGCCAAAAGAACAGATATATCCTGGAAAGGGGGCAGCCAGAGTGCTCCTTGGAGGCAAGGATGATGCAACTTCATCTTTCATTCTTTGGACATGTAGCTAGGAGAGGTTATTCCTTGGAAAGAGACATCATGTTTGCAAAGATAGAGGGTCAGTGAAGGAAAGAAAGACCCCCCAGCAAGATAGATTGAGACTGTGACTTCAGCAATGGGCTGTAATGTTTCAGAGATGCTGAGGATGGCACTGGATAGGGCAGGTTTCTGGTTGGCAGTTAATAGAGTTATTGTGAGTCATACTCAATTCAACAGCACCAAACAGCAACTACAACACGACCGCAAAGCATTTGAGGCATAGGTAGTTCACTTATCTTTCTTCCGTTACTTTTCCTATTAAACAGTAGTCTTGACACATCCTTTAATCTTCATAAGATTCTAGTTTCCTATTAACTGAAGAATCATAACGTTCTCAAGATGTCAAGTTATTTGGAAATGCAGCTTCCTTATACTTCTTTTGTTTTAATCTCTATTCTTTTTATTCAACTTCCTCATTCCAAGTGCAAAATCAAGGTAGGCAGAATACACAGCAAAGTATTTTCTTTCGCCTTTTCCCTGTAAACGTTCCAACAACCCTTTCTTCTTTTTTTGCATTATTTTTTAACCACTGCATATTGTTGTTCTCTCAGTCCGAGGCCAGAGTAAGATGGGGAAGAATGTGTGGAGAGCAAGTTTGGGATTTTTGTGAGGTTGTTTCTGAAAGCAAATTTTTAAAGGATTTTTCTACGTGTCATGTAGTCCCTGGGTGGAGCAAGTTGTTGACGAGTTAATGCCAAGGCATCTAGGAAGGATTACCTGCTGATCTGTTCTTACAAAGAGTCAGTTGCCAAGGCAAGCAGTTCAAATCTACCAGCTGCTCTTTGGGAGAAAGATGGACATCTCGTCTTGTGCTATTTACAGCCTCTGAAACCCTGTTGAATATTCACATAAGAGTTGGTTCCAGCTGGATAGCAGTGAGTTTTTAGAGTTGCGCTGAAATCCTGTAGAGTACCATTCTGCTTGGACACACATGGTCACCACGAGTTGATGTTGACTGGACAGGAACTAGCCAGGTTCTCTGTATGGCCGTTCTCAGCTGGGCTTTCACTTAGTCTAGAGGACATTCACTCAGTGTCATTTAAGGTGGTTCAAACTCACCTTGTGCTTCCTTTGGAGGAAAGGCCTGGCTGTTCGCGGCTGTGAAGTGGTTGCTTAGGGAACCTTGTGGGCAGTTCTGCTTTGCCACATGGGGTCACTGTGAGTTGGAATCAGTTTGATGGTTTTTGAGGTCAGAGTGTGACCTCTGTTAAGGGTCTCCAGTTAGTATTAGTGGATCTCAGGTTGCTTACAAAGCAAGATCTTCTCTTGAGATTTGGAAATTAAAATAGCAAGCTGTGAAGTTCCCCGGTAGGTGGGGAAACTCCCCAAAAGCAGGTCAGAGAGGCGGTACAGAAATGATGAGATGCTGCAGAGGGTGCTGTGCCACGTGTGCCGGCATGTGAGCCCTTGCTTGGTGAAGCCCCACGCCGTGAAGAACAGAAAGTGTTCTGGCCAGGAAGGTGTTCTGAGAGGGTGTTACCAAAGGGCGCCTGTGGGTTTACAAGACCTGAGACCTGGTGGCATAGTGTAGCTGCTAACTGAAAGGTCCGTGGCTGAAATTCACCAGCCACTCCAAGGGAGAAAGATGGGCTGTCCCCTCCTGTAGAAAGATGCAGCCTTGGAAACCCAGTGGAGGGTCAGTGTGAGTCAGATCCCACTCCACGTCAGTGAGAGGAAGGATGGTATTGGGAACAGATACACGGAGTGGCTCCAGAAACAGATTGCAATCCATTGAGGGATCATTCTATAATTAGCTTTCCGTATGAGGAAACTAGTTTTATAAGGATAATGATTCATCCAGAAAACTAATGGCTCAGTTCATGGCCCTGCGGAGTCTGGAGACCAGGAAAATGTCTACACTTTTTTATTCCTACAAAAGGAGTGAATGGGTCTGTAAAACCAAACTGTCCACGCAGGTATATGTAGGTCAGAAAGGTATTTGGGGTGATAAAAAGTTTGATCCAGAGAGGTTTGCTGACTCAGTGGCCAAGTGCTCTCTGTTCCTTGGGAAGAAGATCTGGCAATCTGCTCTTGTTAGGATCACAATCCAGGGAACCGTATGGCGGGGGATCTCCACTCTCTCACCTGGGGTCACTAGGAGTCAGAATCAGTCAGTGATATGCAACAACAACTACAACAACTCATTGCTGTCGAGGCTGAACTGACTGAGAACAGACCCTCTTTGAAACAAGGAGTTTCAAAGAGTGTTCATCTTTCTCCTGAGGAGCAGCTGATAGATTCAGACAGCCTACTAAGCGCCTGATTCAAGCCATGGTCTTTCCAATCACCTGCTCTGCTGCTGAGAGTTGTATAGTGAATAAGGATGACAGAAGAATGAATGCCTTTGAACTGTGGTGCTGGAGAGAAGTACTAGATATCCCTTGCACTGTCCAAAGAACAAACAGGGATGTCTTGGAGAGGGTGCAATCAGAGTGCTTCTTAGAGGCAAAGGTGATAAAGCATCATCTCACATACTTTGGACATGTTAGGAGAAACTGTTTCTTGGAAAAAGACAGGGTGAAGTCTCTCTCAGGGAGGAGTGATAGGGAATGGCAAAGGACACACTGACAAAGGAGATTAATCAGAACTGACTTTGACAAGCACTGTGGCAGTTGGACAATTAAAACAGACATTCGGATGGCGGGGGAAGAAGAACAAACTGGGGAGGAGGGTAGAGAGAATGGTGCAGCAATGAAGGAATGAAAACCCAAAATCCCTGTAAATGTTCATTAAAACTAATAAAATTTAATAATAAAAAAAAAGGTGGAGAGTCAGTGAAAGAGAGGAAGACCCTCAATGAGACAGATTGACACAGTGCCTGAAGCAGTAAGCTCACTATGTCAGAGGTGATGACAGGATAGGACAGGACAGGGTTCAGATCTGTTGTTCAAAAGGTCCTTGTGAGTCATACTCAACAACAAACAATAACAACAAATGTTGGATTAGCAGGGAAATTCCTTAACCAGCAGGAGCTCCCTTTCACATTTGTCGTTGTTGCCGTTGTGTGCCCCATTGAGTGAGGACTCATAGTGGCCTTATGACAGCGACTCTGAACCTTGCCCTCTCCTGAGCAAACCTTACATCTTTGACACACCCAACCCCATTGCAACAGTCCCTGTGTCAATCCATCTCACCTGTGTTCTTACTTTCTTTCTCTGGCCTTCTAAAGCATGATGTCATTCTCCAAGGACTGGCCTCTCCTGACAGCACGCCCAAAATGTGTAAGATGGAGTTTCAAAATCCTTGCTTCCAAAGAGCACCTGGTTTCACTCCCTCCGGAACAGACCTAAGAGAGTCTGTTGGCAGTCCATGGTGTACGTTCAGTACTCTTCTCCAGCACCAAAACTCAAAGGCATCGATTCTTCTGTCATCCTTAGCCATTGTCCAGCTCTCAGATGCATAGCAAGCAATTGAGAAGACCGTGGCTTGGATCAGGTGCACCTTAGTGTTTAGACTGACATCATTGCTCTTTAGAACTCCAGAGAGGTCATTGACAGCAGATTTTCCCATTGCAGCTTGCCTTTTGATTTTCTGACTGTTGATACCAAGACTGTTGATTTTGGACCTGGGCTAAAAGAAATAATTAACAACTTCAGTCTTTTCTCCATCTATCATGATGCCTGCTCGTGAGAATTTTATTTCTTTTTTTTTTATATGAGGGTATAGTAAAGATGGAAACACACCTCTATGGAAAAATCTGACTTAAAAAATACCTCTTTTTAATACAGTTAAAAAGGAGCACTTGTGGCACTGTGGATTAAGCACGGGGTTGCTAACAGAAAGGCCCCCAGTTTGCACCCACCAGCTATTCCACAGGGAGCTCTAGTGGCCTAAGTGTAGGGAATCCAGCAGCCACCCCAAATGTCATGTCTCTCTGGTGGATGGAATCCCCCTGCAGCTCTGAGGAAGAAGGATGGACAATCTCCTCCTATGCTATTTACAGCCGTGGAAACCTGTTGGAAGGTCAGCTGGTAGTCAGAACTGACTTGACAACAGTGACGAAAGCTGTTCTTCCAGAAAAAGATGATATAATCTGCTCTCAAGAGTGTTTACAGCCTCTAAGGGGCAATTAGTGGTAAAGAATTGTACTGACAACCCAAAGGTATACAGTTCGAATCCACCAGCTTACTCTATGGGAGAAAGATGGGTAGTTCCTCCTGTGTGATCAACTGCCCGTGAAAACCCCCTGGAGTGTCAGCTATGTACTCAGTGGTATGTAACAATGACCAATGGAGCAACTCTAGGAGATGGTGTGTAGCGAGAAGGTCAGAGGTTTGAATCCACTAGTTGCTTCTCGGGAATGCTGGGCAGTCTCCTGTTGTAAAGGTTTAGTCAGAATCCCTGTGAGTTGACATTGACTCACCAGCTGTGGGGTTGGTTTGTTGATGGGACAGTTCTGTTACTGGCTAGAATAGGCTCAGTGGCTGAGCCATAATGCTAATAGTTTTTTTAAAAAAAGTAAACGGCGTCCCTTTTCAGCAGGAAGTAGCTAAGAAAAAATGCGCTGTCCCCTTTTCCTTATGAATCAGGGTGAAGTCTCTCTCAGGGAGGAGTGATAGGAAATGGCAAAGGACACACTGACAAAGGAGATTAATCAGAACTGGCTTTGACAAGCACTGTGGCAATTGGACAATAAAAACAGACTTTCAAGGTGGGGGGAAGAAAAACTGGGGAGGAGGGTAGAAAAAATAGTGCAACAGTGAATGAATGAATGAAAACCCAAAATCTCTGTAAATGTTCATTAAAAGTAATAAAAATTAAAAAAAGTAAAATGACAAATTTCAGATGAACTGTTATTAAAATTTGTTTTTCAGAGTCTAGATCAGCCTCCAAATTAAAAGGCCCAGAACTGAGTATCAAAGGCACGCAGCATGTCATGAAAGCTGGAGAGACTCTGTATCTCAAGTGCAGGTGAGCGGTGGCATCGGAGCGGCCGCAGTCCCTTACCTTGTCCAAGGGGTGGTCGTTCCTGGCTGGATAGGAAGGCTCCCTCCACAGAGGCTGTGTACAGCAGCTTCAGCGGTCTCCTGAGATTTCTCAGGTGCAAACCTCAGAAAAAGTGATGGAGGGCGGATCACTCAGAGTCTCCACCCACTTGGCAGCAGGGAGTGAGTGGTGCTGGGTATAGTTGAGGTATTTTCTCAGTGTGTTACATTTCTTTGAAGAGGGCAATTAGCACACTCAGAAGGGGGCCTTGGACTAGCACTTGCAAATGAAATGAATGGAGACTTTGAGTTCAGTTCCTGGCTACACCACACACCCCATCACCGTTTATTTGTCAGTGGAGGCTGGAGTGTTTCTATGATGCTGGACAGGTTACAGCAAAGATTACAGACTAAGACTGGGAAGAAAGACCAGGTGACCAGTTCTGAAAAATCAGCCAGTGAATACTCTGGATCAACATTGATCTGACCTGGAACTGGTTGTGGAGACAGCATGTACCGTGTCACCAAAGTGAATGGATGTTAAGGAGAAGAGTAGGTGCAGAGCCATGAGGATCTCTGTTAGCTCAATGGGTAAAGCATTGAGCTGCTAACTCAAAGAGTAGTGGTTCAAGCCCCCAGATGTTGCACAGGAGAAAGATGTGGCAGTCTGTTCTCATAAAGATTACAGCTTTGAAAATCCTGTGGGGTACTTACACTCTGTCCTACAGGGTCACCATGAGTCAAGGTCGCAGTGGGCGGCAGTGGGTTTGGGCTGAGCCATCTCAGTTTTGATCTCTTCACTGTGGTCACAGGGGGGACAGACCCCATCGGTGGTCCCTGCCCGACTCGGTGCGCAAGGAAACTAAGAAGCTGAGCATCACAGAGTCTGCCTGTGGGAAGAATGGCCAGCAGTTCTGCACCACTCTGACCTTGAGTGAGGCCCAGGTGAACCACACCGGCTTCTACAGCTGCAGAGACATCTCCAAACCTGTGTCAAAGAAGATGAGGACAGAAGCCAAAATCTATGTATTTGTTAGTGGTAAGACTGCCATTTTCCTAGATTCTGTTTGTTTTTGGCCCCTATGCTGGTGGTATAGTATCTGTCCAGTGTGTGTGAAAGAAACAGAGCAGCAAAGAGATTTCATCCTAGATGTTAAGACTTGAAAGAGCCCTGGGACAGCAGTGGTTAAGTACTGAGTTGCTAACCTATGGGTCAGAGGGTCAGAGGTTCAGACCCACTAGCTGCTCTGTGCGGGAGCGATAACAGTCCATTTGTATAATGATTACAGCCTGGGAAAACTTAGGAAGCAGCTCTGCTCTGCCCCACATGGTTGCTGAGTTCGAATTGACCGAGCACTAAGGGGTTTGTTCTTTTGCACATATTCAACTAACAGAGTTATGGTGGCATGACAGTTACATGATTGCTTCAAACCAACCTGAGCCAACCCTCGAGAGTGTCAGAGAACAGTGTCACAAGGCTGCTTGTAGTTGATTGAGGAAGAGAGACTGTCTGGCCTGTGGAGACGCCCATTGTCACAGAAGGAAAACCAGGATAGGTTTTTATGTTGGAGTGGGAATTAAAGGCTATAAAATTCCTTACTGCCTGACAGACCATCAGTGGCGAACCTGGCCTGTCATAATCTACATACACCAGTTTTTAAAAGGCTCTTCCTGAAGGAATGAAGGGAGCAGGAAAACACAGCACCACCCTCCAGGAGTCCCATCCCTTCCTATGTTGACAGGGTTAAAGGTGGGATATCTAGAAGTGAGAATAGGGCAGTGGCAGGTCCATAAAATGTAAATGGATTTACATGACTGGTCCAAGGCACATGCCATTCAGTTTTTCACAGGGTGGTCCCAGGACAGGCGGTCAGGACCAGTTTTTCTGGTATCCTATTTTTTCCTCAGTCAGGACTGTCTCTGGAGGGTCCATTGTAGCGATTTGCTGATAAGGGGTCCATCTTGCATCTATTTGTCCATAAGGACAAATACTCCCTTTGGGAATAGATCAGATATCCTGAACAGGCCAAACCTCAGAGAAAAGGAATGCTGCCCTTGGGGTAGATGACCTGAATCAGTGCAGAGCTGGTAGGCCACTAGGAAATTGTCTGTTTTAAAGACTGCATTCTTGAGATAGGCAGGATTAGAAAATGCACTAAGTAGGGTATTATGATGGTCTATAAAGAAATGCTCCCTTGGTGCAGGGATGGTGAAACTTTGGCTCCCTTATTTTGAGCATGTTGTTAGGAGAGGCCAATCCTTGGAAAAGGACATCCTGCTTAGAAAGGTGGAGGGTCAGCATAAGAGAGAAAGACTGTCAACAAGATGGGTCAACACGGGGCTCAGCTGTGTCGGAGATGGTGGGGACAGCACAGGATCAGGCAGAATTCAGATCCCTTGTTCATAGGGTTGCTGTGACTTGATGGCACATAATGACAATATAGAGAATTCCTTTTGCTGAGCATATTCTGCATATGCCCTGCCAACCCAAAGGCCAGTAGTTTGAATCCACCAGCAGTAAGATCAGCAGTCTCCTCTAGTTGCAATTATGGCATCTGAAAACTCTCTGGAGGGTCAGCTGTGAATCACTTCCCACTTGAAATCAATCAGTGTGGAGTAATTGTAAAAGTGGTTTTAATGAAAGAGTAGCCACCTCAGAGCCTCCTGAATTGTATTTGTGTAAAATGTTAATCAGGAAATACTTAAGGAATGACTGCAGGCTGTTTACCTGTGACAGTATCACTTGAATATCAACAGTATCAATTTTGTTATCTATTTCTTGGAAAGATACTGGTTTCATACTGGCTTCATAATCACCTCCTTGGGAAAGTCCAAAGAACTTCATTAAAGCAGCTACAGATGTTCCTATTGGCAAACCTTTTTTTTTCTTCTTCATTTCCTGTTTTCATTATATTATTAATCGGATCTCTTGAGAAAACCTAGCCTCCCAGTTGGATTGTGATTGAACGATACCCTCACTACAGGTGGAATTTTTGTTCAAGGGCATGAAACTTGCCTGAGATGACTCAGAGGCTTGTCTGCGGAATTACCCTCCAGCCGTTTCCTCAAACGTGACTGCTCACTAGCTAGTAATTGGTTATCTTTTAGGACTCTTGGTTCTGGATCAGGTTAGGAGTTGGGCTGATAACTGACAGCTTAGCAGTTTGCACACACCCGCTGGTCCATGAGGGGGGAGCTGTGGCAGTCATCTCCCTTTGAAGATTTCAGTCTCAAAAACCCTGTGGGACAGTTCTGCCCTGTTTTACAGTGTTGTTATGAGTCGGGATAGATTCGATGGCTATTGGTTTGATCCCCCCCCCCCATAATTTATTGTTGCTGTCCATTTAAGGAGCTCTGATGGCACAGGGCATTACATATTGGGCTGCTAACTGAAAGATTGGCAGTTTGAATTTATTGGTCACCCTACAGGAGAAAAATGAGGCAGTCTGTTCCCTTTAAGTTTTGCAGCCTCAGAAACTTAATGGAGGGTCACCGTAAAAAGTCAGTTAAACGACAGTGGGTTCTTCAGAAGATGTTACTCTGCTTGGAGAATATGTGTCCCCATAAGCATGCGTAGATGACTGGACCTTTCATCTAGGTTTTCTGTAAACACAAGAAGCACTGTGAAGACACGTCTTTTGAAAAGGCAGATCTGTAGTGGACAGGATTGCAGGGAGAACTGGAGCTAAGTCGCTTGGTCCACAGGCACCCTGGTGACACAGTGGTTAAAGCACTCAGCTGCTGATTGAAAGGTTAGCCGTTCAAATCCTAACTGCTACTCTGCAGGCAAAAGCTGAAGCAGTCTGCTCTCCTAATAAATAGCTAGGGCCTTAAAGCCCTAAGATGCGACTTTTCTTTGCCCAGTGGGGGTGATTGTGAGATGGAATAGAGTCTGTGGCAGCATGTGGAGTAAGCTCTTTCTGAGGAGCACTGTGGTGCAGTATAGTTAAACACTTGACTACCAACCAGAAGGTTGATGGTTGAAATCTACCAGCTAGTCCTTGGGAGAAGGACCTGTTGAATCTGCTTACATAGAGATTACAGAAAAGAAAAGAAAGAAAAAAAAGAAATCCACAGAATAATTCTGTTTTGTCCTAAACAGTCATTAGGAATTGGAATCAACTAAACCAGTCCATCTTTAGGAACTGGAATCATTGCATGCCAGTAACGTCAGTTTGAAGACCAAGATGTGCCTGATACAGGCTATGGTCTTTTCATTCACTTGCTGTGCATCTAAGAGCTGGACAAATGAATAAGAATGGCAGACGACAAAACCTCTGTAATAAAAAATAAAAAACAAAAAAAAGAATGGCAGATGAAGAATCTATGCGTTTGAGTTGTGGTGTTGGGAAAGAGCACTGAATATCCCGTGGATAACCAAAGAACAAACAGATATGTCTTGGAGAGCGTGCAACCAGAGTGCTTCCTAAGAAGCACTAAAGGTAAAGATGACAAAGCTTCATCTCACATTCTTTGGGCTTGTTGTTAGGAAGGGCTGTTTCTTAGAAAAAGACATGCGTGGAAAGGTGGCGTGTTACTGAAAGAGAGGAAGACCCTCAACCATGGGTTGGCACAGTGACTGCAGCAGTGGTCTCAAGTGTGTTGGAGGTGAGGAGGATGGCACAGGATGGGCCCTGGTGCAGATCTGTTGTACAGGGTTCCTGTGTGTCATATGCGACTCAACAGCACATAACAGCAACATGATAATAAGGGAGCTCTGGTGGCGTGGTACGTGGGAAGTTGTACTATTAACCCTAAAGGAAGCACCTCTCTAGCAGTTCGAATCCACCAGCAGCTCTGCAGTAGAAAGATGGATAGTCTCCTCCGGTGTAATTTACAAGCTCTGAAAACCACTAGAGTGTCAACTTTGAGTTGGTTCTGACTTGACAGAGATGAGTTATTTAGATCCACAGGGAGCCCTGTAGGGGTGCTGTAGTAAAGTCATTCGTTTGGCTGCTAACCAAAGTTTAGGCTCTGGCACCTGGGACAGTTCTACTGTGTCCTGCAGGTTAGTGACCCTGTGAGTCTGAATTGACTCCATGGCAGTGGATTGAGCAGATTGAGTATGACTGGAAGACACAGGACAGGAGAGGCTTCAGATCTGTTGCTTATGATAGGGTTACTTATGAGTCATATTCAATTTGATGGCATGTAACAACAATCCCAGGAAGAATTGGCTTCCAAGGTTTTGGTGTCTGAGGTTCTCCAAGATCAGGATTCTGACGGTCATTGAGCCTGTGGTAGTTGAGAAGGAAACTCTGTCTCCTTGCCTCACCAGACAGTGTGGCCAGTGCAGTGGGTAACAGAGGGGCCTGTTGCTCATCTCCTGTCACAGGATGTCTGTGCTGGGCCGAGCGCTGGTTGGAATTCAGCCTTCAGATGCACATACAGAAACTCAGGTGGTTTCCTGGGTGGCAGCTGTCTGAGGCAGTTTTGCCTTTGCAGAATCATCTGGAAAGAATTTGAGGACTTTCCTTTGTATAGGGCTTCATCTAAGCCTGGTACAAGGGAGGGAGTGCGCTGACATGGTAGGTATCAAAATGAATGTTATTAAACAAAATGTGTGAGTCGTTGAATGAACAAACCATTTTGCACTCATCTCTCTCTCTCTCTGTCTCTTTCACTGACTTACACAGAAAAAGTCTGGTACAAGGTCTAGTTGGCCTGGGTAGTTTTTTCTTTTGATGAAGTTGTAAAAGAGGGAAAGCCAATATTTCTTGGATGTTAAAATATAAATTGTCAGGCACCGTTGATTGGAATTGCAGATTTTTCCTTGGGATCCAGCCGCCTCCACCGTGCGGCTCTCAGGCTGATGGGTAAAGGGATTATCCGTTCTGTTCCTAATGGGGCAACAGAACTGATTAGGACCACATGGCCAAGGAGCAGAGAGAAAAAGTAGAATGCTTAGCTGTTTTATTTTCCAGCTACATGAAAATTTGCTAGAAAATGTCCTGACATCTTGACTGTGTTGGTGTTAGGTTCTGTTGAGTTGTTTCTAACTCAGAAGTTCTGTATACAACAGGGCAAAACACTGCGGGG